GCATGGACCAGTTCAAGGCCTGGAGCCGCAGGCTGCAGGTTTAGGGGTCCAGGCTTTGGTGTTTTTTTTTTGGACTACTTCAAGGGGTTGGGCTCAGGGGTTGTAGTAGGGCTCTGGGATTCAAGCTTTACAGCTTGAAAAGGGTCATGGTTGTGAGTAGTATGAATTTTGGGGTGAAGGCTCGGGGATCGTGGCTAGAACTGCGGCACATGTCGTGCAGTTATTTGCCTTCGTCGGCACTGTGTTGCGTTGAGCTGAGTCTGTACTAAGATGCAGCTTCATTATCATCAGCTAGGGCTTCCTAGGGCTGTTACAGTTGCGCAAGGCAAAGACGTTTCCGAGGAGGTCAGAGTACCTGGGCAGCGGCAAAAACTTGAAGTGAAGTGTCTTTTTGGGGTCCGGCAAGAGGAATTCCTGCACTTGGGGTTCTGAGGGGTCTGTACAGGTCTCAAAAGACCAAGTCAGGCTGGGGTGTTTAGTTTTCCCACAAGCGTTGCAAAGCTGATGATGTGGATGTTTGTGTGATAATCGTTTGATGGTTGCGATGTTTTTCTGGTCCAGGTTTGGAACTCATGGTGTTCCTGACTGTTGAACGCCGCGCGAAAATTATGGCCGCTTTGGCACGCTCATTTGTCGCAAGCATGAGAATGAGAATGTCAGTGGCTCTGCCCTTCGAGAGAATTGTGGCTTTGGCACGCTGCGGTGCTCCTAATTCTGAAGCTGTTCACGACTGCGGTGTCGCCAAGCTAAAGCTACGAGAAGATGGCGCATTGTTTTGTCCCGAGTCTGAAGCTGTGATTGTTTTGATGTGTCGCGATTGAAGCTTTGGACTCCCATTGTCCAGCAATGAGACAGGCTCGGCCGCTAGGTATTTGAGGGTTGTTGGTCGCGTTATTAAGGCTTTGCATGCAGGGCAGTTATGCTTGCCTTTCTGCGCTATCCGCGGAGATTGCCAAAGACCTTAAACACGGGAGGCAGATCCCAAACAAAATTAGCACACATATTTTGAAGCTCCAAGGCTACCGTAGGGCTGGGTGAAAAGCTGAGCTAGATATTCAATGTCGTTTAGAAAAGCAGATACGGCTGTTGGACACGTTTTAAGGTAAAACTTATCAAACAACAACTGTACCCTCTGCTTTGCCTAGATCGCCAGTGAAAGCCAGAATCAGACAAACCAGTTTGGTTTGACAGCCTTGGCCCTTCCAACCTGAATGCGTCCGTAAGATTTAGCCTGGAGGGAGCGCGATGGTCAAACGAAGAGTGAGGCGATCCGTGCCAGATTAGCTTGGCACATCAAAGCTGAGTAATGTAGGGGCTTACATGATTACACATTGCCAATATTCTTTTGAAGTTTACTTGAGGTACCCTATACAAGAATTAGACAGGGCAGCCTAAGGCCATAATCTTGGTAATTATGTAGGCTTCTACATGAAAGCCGAAACCCAGTCAGGATTACTGATCTCTTCAATGCCTCCAGCCTGCCCATCATCGTCCAACGCCTTCTAGGCTGGGTGAAGAGTGTGATGCAGTTTAGTGTTTAGGGTGATGGATCCCTGTACCTTCTGAATGCCCGTAGATACCGGAAACGCCTCTACCTTCCCTCCCTTAAGATGTTGGGTCTGTGGGTTTTCCTCTACATATTCGGATCTCGGAGGACGTCCAAAAGTGACCCATGCCACTGAATTGGCTTCATCTTGCTGCTGGAGGGCCAGCCTGCATCACCTAGATTCACTAAAGGTCCTACATTCCCTAAGGGTCCAAGGACCCAAATAATAGGTTTTTAGGTTCCAAAGACCATCAATTGTAGTGTATTTGGGCCCTGAAGCCCTATTATTTGGGTCCTTGGACTGTTAGGGATTATTGTTACTGCGACGCTTATCACTTTCCTCGACTCCTTCAGTCAGGAAGTTGTGCGGACTTGAGGGATCTCTGGGGTTCATCTTGTCCCCATACTCGCGTAAAACACGCCCACGCGGTCGCCATTGTTTACCCCTATGACTGTATTATAGCACCATGTGGGAGGTAGTCATTGAACATTGGGGGTTGCAGTATTTTTCAAGAGGAGAGGGGGATTACATAGTTGGTAGTTTCCCAAAATAAGGGGACCCCAATATAGACCCCAAAATACTACAGTCCCTATGATCGGGACCCCCAATAAGGTAACCCTCATTTTGGGAAACTCCCCGTTCCGTTGTACATGGGGAGCAGAGCCGACCTAGGTCTTCCACAGTTTCAGCCTTCACTGCCCAAGTGGCTATTTGTGAAACTAGGGGGGTTCGCGAGAGCCTCTACATGATGCGGGTTTGTAGCATGCTTGCATCCATGCAGAACCGCAATTTTCCCATATGATTTTTCCACAAGAGAACCTTAGGGTTTTGACCTTGGAACCCTATGTCTAAATGGCATGTCCCACCCTCAAGCCCTAAAGCCGTCCCAAAACCCAGACTTAAAATCACTCCTTCCTTCACTAGGTCCCCAAGAGGCACATGCTAGAAAATCCTGGGTCTTGACGTATCACTTGAGTAGTATTTTATTTGCTGATGCTATGCTACCCAATATAGAGTATAGGATTTCAGGAAAAGAATATAATCCTAATTGGTTCAACCACCAAATAACGCTACTCGGTTGTCTGGAAGCTCTCATTGGGTTGTCTTGGAGCCTCGAAGGCCCTCGTGGTTCGGGGCAGTACCGTGTCGACGCGGGTCAGATCGCCTTGCGATTCCCCGGCGCAGCCGGGAAGCAGTTTGGGATCAGTATATCCATGGGGTGTCCAAATTCCATGATTTTGAGAAACTTTCCCGTGGCTTTACAGGCAACTGCACCAGCAGCAACCGGCTTTTCTTTCGAGCTTAAATCCCCGTTTCTTTATTCAGCACAAGAAAATGTTGGATTTGTCGGGCTTGAGTGCTATCCGAGTATGCAATGCAGGGTTTAGTCTGTGTTTGGGAAGCGAGAGTCCTAGGAATAGTGAAGTTCCTGAGAGCGTTTTACCATCATCCGCCCCTAGAGTCTAGACTCCAGGTTCTTGGACTGTAGGTTTCAAGCCTGTATGGCGCAATCGACAGGTTGAAATATGACTCTAGGCCCTAGGCTCCGAGTGTGTTGGGAATGACAAGTTGTTATGATGCCCAGGTGGGAGTCTTGAAAACTCCTTACTGTTGACACGCAGCTGGAAGTCCACGACGGTTGGTTCGTGCCCAACAACACCCCAGAAGGTATCTCAGTCCATGTTTCTAGGGTACCTTTTTGGGGGTCCCTATAATAGTAAGTATCATATGGTTTTGGGTGTTTATATTGGGGCCCCCTATTTCGGGAAGCTACCAATTAGCTGTGGCAAAAGAAGCTGCAGAGAAGTTGTGAAAATCTTTGCGCAAGCAATTCTTTCCCGCTTGTACCCCTCCTTGCGGCCGAGGATATGTGCATCAAGGATACTGTAGAGTGCGACCATCCGCACTTCGAGCGTATCAGAAGGGGTTGGCACATCGATGGCGGCTTGCCATGGGTGAAGGTATGACGGTAGTGCAGGAGCCTGAGATGTTCTGAGCTTTGCAAAACTTATTTTCTCTGCTGCGGATCTGGGGATGCACCGAAATCAAAGCCCGTGTGTTTTCCCGAAGTACTCCATGCTACCTGAGCCTCTTCTGTTGTGCGAGGTTGGGGCTGTGCTCCTAAGGTTGTCTGCGCGGAGTCTAATTCATGCTCGTTTTTACTTCAAGTCCTGAGCGTCTGAGAAGAACTGCCGTTTTAAGGGGTTCATACGGCTTGTAAGAAGCCACGAAGGCAACGTCTGTTCATTCCCCCCTCTCTCCGACATCCCTTCACAGTTAGCAACAATCAATAGCCAACGTGCTCCAGAACAGCATGATCTTAAAAAAGGGTGTGTAATACTTATGACAAGACGGGGGCAGCAAGCCAGGCATCCATGGGTATCTTGATCCCGGATGTTTCTGCTACGCTATCTTGACATGAATGCCGAGTACTTTCCCTGGAGATATCTTAATTTCAGAGTTTCCCGCGTTCGTTGACAGCTAGTCAGGCATCGATACTTGATAGGGTTCGTGTCGGACAAGCGTCGTCCAGACCAAGGTTGGAAGAAAAGTTCTGAGCCGACTATATCGTGATATCTCCCAGTGCGAGTGCTCATTCCGAAGTTGTTCAGGGCATGGAGTGGAGTAGGTATTTCTGAGAGAAGAGAACTAACCACTAGTCACGGACTCATTGTTTGCTGATTGATCAAGCCAAGCCGAGTATCGCTGAGTGCGCTATGGAGCACTTTGTCAAAGAGATTGGCCCTCACTTTCAGGTCCTCATTACAGGGTCTTTGGTCTCATGCTCAGTAGACTTTGGCCCTTCGTCCATTTGACTGTTTGATAGTATCAACAGCCCCCGCGATGATCTAAGGAACTCCCTCCAGTTTCATCCCGGGTGTCTCTGAAGCTGAGCTGCATATCAGCTGTCCAGGGCTTTTGCCATCGTCAAAGTCAAGTGAATAAAGGTTATGTAAGTGAAAGGTGGAAGAGAAACTGTGGCCATTTTGGCTTATGTAGGCTACACTTCGCCTGGAGAAAGAACCGCTGCAATAATGACAGGTATTCCGTTTGCAGCGCGACCATGTCTCACACGAGTGAGTGTTTGTAGGGGATGGGGTCTGCATTGTTAGGAGCAAGTGGTGACTTTAGCAGTCCCTCCAGACGGCAGATGGCAGCAAGGGCTAGCGACTAATTTAATTGTTTTTTGGAAGAGTCCGTAAAGCTATCTAAGAGCTCTTAAATCACCAAATCACGTACGCCGCCTGTGGTTGAGTTTGTTTTGCAGAGAAGTAGGCCGTTTGTTCACTTCTGGGTGTTTTCCAGTAAGCTTGCATACATGGAGGTGCCCAAGCTGCGCTGGGGATGAACATGACCCGGTGTTTATCGATTCTCGACCTGCTTGGAGAAATTACGGGGCAAGATTTTACCCAAAGATTTCACACCTAAACGAAGGACCACTGGGGCAAGATCATGAACTTTGATGCCCTTGTGGGAGTCCTACTCAGCGACACAGACGAGAACATGAGTGGCGAGCTTTGCTGCCGCTGGGCTTATAAGAGTGCTGAAAGATTGAAAGTTGTCTTTTTCAGAACTGGCCAAACGAAGAGAACCTCCATAGCAGTGTCTTTGATAGCAGGAGAAGTGGTACTGCTGCTGCTGCTGCTACTACTCCTACTGCTACTTCTACTTGCTATTCTCCACTCGGCCAGCAAGCAAGGTGAAGTGCAAGTTGTCCAAGGAGCTGGCCCCCCCCCCAAGAAAAAAGGCTTTACAGCATGAACACAGAAACATCATCTAACTCTATCACCCCTTCCATGTGTGATGCTTCAGGCTACCCAGGCTCGCACATGGACCTATCTGGCTACTTCCAGAAGCGTCTCGGCTGGCAGTTGCAAATTTTGCATTTTGCATCTTCAAGCAGCCCCCTCCCCAGACGATGATTTCCCGGCTCCCCGCTATTCTGTTACATGATATATAAGATATTGTGCTTTCACATCCTATGCAATATTCCAATATTATACTTGCTATAGTACTGCTGCTGCTGCTGCTGCTGCTGCTGCTCCTGAGAACTATAATGTTTTGAGAGCCCAGGCACGGCTTCAAAGATGTGATGCACAAAGGCTTGGCCCGGAGCAAGCTTAGCTTCCCATGGAGTCCCCAAAAACGTAGAGGGGTTCTCTGGGGGAGATATTTAGACGTATAGGGTTTACAGTTTAGGGTGCAGGGGATCTCTGGGGGATGTATAGGTTTCTTTTTGGAAAGCGTCTCTGGAAACTTCTGTCCATGTTCACGTTCTAGTTGTCACACTCGGTGAAGAAGCACTGGTTCCATCATTGTTTTCATGGGCTCCATATCCTACGCTGCAAAGTCTAGGTTCTGAGATGTAGGGCTTAGGGCTTAGGCCCTGAGGCTCTCGGATTGAGGATTACTTTCGTGTATTGCAGGATGCTGAGCATCGGGTCCAGGCTTAGAGTTCATCATCGTATGGGAGCTTTCCTCAGCGCAGGCTCATTCTAGGTGCATCCTTGCAGGGTCTCTTCGAGATGGAGCGGTGTAAGATCAAGGGGTGAAGGAAGGGAAGGCCCAGGATCAAAATTCAAGGGCTTGCAGGTTTCAGAGCCGCTGGCAAGAACATCCCCTGTGAGCTTCTGTTGCAAAAGAACTGCGACGCGTACTGCTGACAGACAATTCACCCCGCGTTCGGCCTTAGGGGCTCAGGAAAGCTTGGCTTCCTGATGGTCGTGATGCTTTTGGTCTTCAGACGACCAACAGAATTCTTAGTTTACGAGCTCTTCGAACACAGCATGTCCATGTGTCAACTTTCCGCGCCATGTTTTCGTATGCATCGCATTAGGCTTTTTGGAGGTCCGGCTGGGTTGCAACTGTGGGTTGGGGTTGCGCCACGTCCTGGAGAGGATACATCGCAGCTGGAGCAATCGTAAAAGCGCTGCACAGGAACAGGTCTAGGGCACGAAGAAGGAGGTTGCCTGGAAGCTTCAGGAGTCGACAGGCAGCTAGCCCTTTCCAACAGACTGAAGCTAATGGGAGGGGGGTGGTACCAAAAAAGCTTCATCTCAATCACCTCAAGCCCGAATACTAAACTTTGAGCATTATACGTAGACTCTGGGAGTTGGGCCTACGCACTTACTGGTCCTCTGATGGAAATACAAGAATATAATCCTATGTAATCCCTGCCCCATCTCTTCCCTTGCTCCCCTACTAACCCCCACTACGCTACGCTTGGCCACTTGAACTTTTGGAGGAGCCGAGGCGCTACCTATCGGGAGGAAAACAGATGAGGCCCGGAGCTCTGGAGAACACTACGGGGGTTTCCGGGTTTATGGGGGATATAGGGAGGGTTATGCAGGGATATGTAGGGTTCAGGGTTTAGGGGGTTGAATAGGGGATTTTACAGGCGAGTATTAGAGGGGTTCTTAAGAAGGATTGTCCAAATTACGGTACCTTTGGAGGTCCTAATTATCAGGATTGTAGTGTCTTGCGGTTTACTTTGGGCTTCTTTCTGGGAGCTATCATATTCCTAAATGGGAGATTATGATAATTATGGCTTCTTTTTGGGTCCTTGGTATAATACTGCCCCTACTATTGAAGGTACCCAAAAGGAGCCATAATTTTGACAACCCGCAGCCCCCCCTCCCCCCCAAAACAAAATGTTCACAGCACTTCGTAGCAAGGATTCAATCTGCGCAGATATAAACCTTCATGTAACCCCATTCGCTGCTCAATGCAAGCTTCCTTCTGTTCCGTGTGTATGGTCAACAATGCACGTTGCATCAATTCTTGTCCGTCGATTGCTTGGCAAATTCGACCCTGCAAGGCGGGTAGTCGAACATTACGTCATGTGTTATAAGTCATGTGTTGCTGTTACTGGCTAGGAAGCAGTGAGCAACCTGGGTAGTAGGGAGGTCCGAGGCACGAACTCACATGGCACGGGCAAGACTGCCATGGAGTTTAGTATCCTTACACGAGCACACTGTGTGAAGTATTCATAGAATGAATATTCGTGGGTGATAGCTAGCCCTGAAAGGCGATGATGAGTGCATTTTGCAAGGAATGGGCCCTGTTGAAAGATTGTCAGATCGAATCCCCATTATCAGAACGCAAAGCGGAGACCCCGCGTGCACCAGCCACCACTACCCGAGCCACGTTTTCATTCTTTGCAACTGGTTTAGTACTTCAAGCAACTTGCAAGAGGTTGCCCTGAAAGCCCTGCGCAATCACACTTTTTGCCTTGCTTTCCTTGCCTGTGCCAAGCGTCCGCTATTCTCTAGGGCAAATGCGATGCTCACGAGGCGAGATGGAAAAACTCCCCAAGGCCCAATCTGAACAGCCTAGATCATCGAACTGGGGAATGTTTTTTTTCATGAAAACAGGTTTCTCAGTAGACAGTCGACAAGTCTGCTATGAGGGCGCTTGAAGCTCTTCGGGAGCTTCAGTCCTCGTCAGGTGCTCCAGAAAGGGCCACTACACTGCAATGGCAAAGCCGGCGATGCCACCCAGCATGAGGGTAATACTCAACATAATTCGGGTGAATGCGGTAGATATCATCTCGGCCTTCCGACTGTCATGAAGTTCTTCTGGTGTTCAAGCGCGCAGCTAGTTGGGCCCACCGCATCCCCAGCCAAACTCAGCTTGTAGCTATCTTCCAGAGCTAGCGGAAATCCGCAGATGTTGACTTTGAGTACAGGGAAAGCCTTAAAATGCTCCTCTATGGAGAGGCCTGTCACCAATTTCTTGCTTTGCTTGGAGCCCCAAATCATACATCCCAAAGCTGTCCAAAGCTCAAGTCAAGCCTCAGCCAGCGCCAGGTCCTGTCAGGGAGTGCCTTTGAATGCCTCCCCTAGATAAAAGCCTCTCCAAAAGAAGACTACTAGTTGCTGGTGGGGATTGCTGCTTCTTGGAAACAGTGCTGCGTCATGGTAAGAACATTAAGTCATTAGGGTTAGTTGCAGGGACAATCCCGGAAATCAAAGAGAGGACAATGGCAACGGTGGAGCTAGCTTTCTCTCAGCTGCGAGTGAGTGTAAGAACCCCCTTTAACACCACTGGGGTTCCAACAGTGTTAAGACCAGTTTTCCCGAAACGTGCCTGCACTCTCTTACTTGAAGTCTTGCTCTGTTTGATCTCAAAGTCGCTGAGCATGTCTCACAATCAGGGCCTTTCCCAATGTCATGATACTTTGATGGTGTGGAATTTGGGGCGCAGAGGGTATCCAAGATCAGACTTGAAAGTTGGTGGAAATCCCTGGGAATGCAAGGTTCACAATTTCGGCTGGCTCCCCCTCACCTGCTTTGACATACATTCGTTCTGCTCTGCAAATCTCACTTGCTGCCTTCTAGCAGCGCAAGCCCTCCTAAACCCTAAGGAGCCTGGTCCTTGCTCTCAGTTTGCGATGCGGAGTTGAATTTGAGGGACCCTGGCCTTAAAGCCTTGGCGTAGCAGAAGGTTTTTCTGGCGAACTACATGGTGGCGCACTTCATCGCGCCCAACACTTCGCAGGACATACGCTACTTGGGTCGCAGCTCGAGAGTTGAGGCCTTTGGCAACGGCAAGGTGCTACACATTACGAGTTTTTTCGTTGACGGAAAGCAATAAAACATGCCCCCCCGTTACAAAAGCAACGAGCAACGCCGCTCTTGAACGAGCCCGAGCTCAAAGGTTCAAGGGTTCAGGGGTTTAGGGGCTTGCGGATTCTGAGTTATGGCGTAGTTGCTGGCATCCAGCTTAATACCGAGCCCAGATGCAAAAAAGGGGGTTTGCGGCTTGCGAGCCAGAACCTAAACCCCAAACCATAAACCCTAAATAGTAGCTTCCATTGTCTTTTCCATTATCCCAATATAACCCCAATATAATCCCCTATACTCCCTGTAGTTTCCATTTTATTTTCCATTATCCCAATATAACCCCAATACAACCCTAATATTACCCAAAACCTACAGTAAGGAACTTCAGCTCTGCAGCGAACGCAGCCAAGGCTATGCCGTCTACTTTCGCATTCGGGGCCCTGCTTTCGATGCAGATCCGCTGCAGAAGGACCAAGACTCATCGCTGAGGTTTCCAAAGCAGATCGGCTTAGTATCTCTCGATTTTGAAGGCATAGCTGTCTTAGCTCGTGCTAAGTTTTCTTTTGTACGTTCTGTTGCTGCTGAGGATGACGCTGGTACGCGGCATTCAGTTTCAGGATCATGGTTGCTTAGACGTGTTGCTGGACACTTGAGATGTGAGGGGACGTTCCAAGACTTCTCGCAGGGTTCAAACTTGCCACGCGTTCGCAAAGAAGCGCTTGAAGGCTTGTCACCAGGCAACTGCTGCTGTATCCCTCATGCATGGTGTGATTCACTTTACTTGTTGTAGTTGCTGATCTTTCTGAATCTTTCTCCACAGCCCTTACAAAAGTCTAAACAAAAATTCGGATGCATGGCAGATGCGCCGAGGGCACCTTGACTCGATTGTTGGTGTGGAAGCCATGACTCGTCTCGCGCATGGGCCATCATTGGTTGGCACATCGGTTTGTCCTCGACAAGGCTTCCGAACGCAGCTTGACAAACTTCGCCTCGAAAGTTAAAACGCTTCCTAATAACAAGCCTCCCGTACATGACACTTGCTACAAGTTATAGTTATAGCTACAGCTCTTTTTTGGGGGGGAGGGCGGGGTGGGGCAAGGGTATAGCTGTTATGGCGAGTGCTTCGCCCTCAAGAGTGTACTAGGTCGCTCTGAAGCAACTTCAAGGCCGGGGTTCCTTCCAGGACAACTGCACCCCAAAATCCCCCTAAAGCCTACACCTTAGACCCTATAACCCCTAAATCTTAAACCCTACGTTGCTGGGTCCCCGGAACGAACTGTGCCTGCCTGCCTGCCGAGTGCGAGCGCGTGCCTAAACCCTACCAAGCTACGTAACTTCTGAGAAGGAGAGCATGCTGCGCCCGCTGATGAACTGGAGTCTGGATGGCCCAGCAGCCCCGGCGTTGAGACCGACACCTTCCCTGACGCCTGGGGAGCAAGTCCATAGGGGGTGATAAAGGGTATTTTTTCGGGCAGTACATAGGCGAGTATTTCAAGGTTTCTTAAGGGGGATGCTAGGAGTTTAGACTTTAGCACTTCTTGGTACCAGGGCTTTTAAGCCACTCCTGGCCAGAAAGGGGTTACCGGTTGCTCGCCAAGAAAGTGAGATTTGCCCAAGACATGAATGGACAGTTTTTGAATGGTCTGCTAGAGTCATGTAATTGTTGTCCTTCCTCCGAATTGGAAGTGGGACCCAAACAGCAGCAGCGTCATGTCACGCACTGCTCTCTGCCAACAAGCCTTGAGACTCAGATGGGTGTGAGTGAGGTCCAGTTACAATGAAGAGGACTCTCATGCTAAAGAGGTGAGGTAGTAGGACTTAGAATAGCGGGTTCGGGGTGCAGAGCACCTAGCTTGGAGGGGTTTGAGGATGTTGGTTTTCCGGCGCACACGACCACATTGTTCTCTGAAAGGGGGACCGAAATTCCGGGCTCAATTTCAGAAACCGCCCATTCAGAGCCTCTGGATTTTGGGCACAATCTGTTCAGGTTCAAGGCTTGTGACGCCCTGCCCTTTGTTGCACTGATCCAGCTGCAAACTCAAAGTATGATGCTCCTTATGCTGCCTGCAATCCGCACAAGCGTTGACACCGTGACGCCGAGGAGACGTGCGGCTACAATGGAAGAAGCTGATCGCATGGAAGAGGCATAAGCCCTTTTGTTGGTGGGTGATGGGATGAAACCTAACATATGCGACCTGTTCACATTGAATGCAGGAAGGAAGACGCCTTGGTATCCATAATGCAGGGCGGCAGGGTCAAGGAGTTCTGGGGATTTTGCTCAGGACTTGGGATTGAGACCATAAATAAAAGCACCTCCGAGGGTGATTTGGTGTTCAAGTTTCAGGGTTTTGGGGTCTGGAATTTCTAGGATTTGGCAAAATGATGTTCCTGCGAAGGTTCACCTGACACGAACCATTGGCGAGGCTTCCGCTAGATATCCTTGTTAGCCCCTTCTGCATTTTAAACGTCGGTAGTTTTAGGAGTATCCGAGCTGGTAGGCCAAAGCCAAGTGCCCGTGGAGCAGAAGGAACCCGATGAAGACAAATACTGTGCCAGACTTCTTCCCTTAGAGGCTCTATTCGAGCTTTAGTCTCAATCCCCTTTGGGGGGATGGATTGCTTAGGGGACTACTATGGGGGTTTGTAAGCAGGAGAGTAGACTATGGCTCATACGAAGCACGTGCCTTTGGCTTCAGGCCTCGTGGGTCCCCTGAGTACTGACGCACTCAGCCTTAACCTCAGGCTCAATTTCATAATTTTTGCATTGCAGAAGGTTTTTATGCCTGCCAGGTGTCGGACCACTATGCAACTGCAAACAACGACTACACCGTGCCCACCTGATGGGTTTGGCTTAATATATGGGAGCTCCTGAATTCTGAGGCTCACAAAGGCTTGGGCCGCTAGTAGAACGCAGATGCCAAGAGCATTTGTTTCCCAAATTTAAGTGCAGGAATTCTAGGGTTCGGCAAAGCCGAACTTCCAAATCTGCACATGTCGCGGCTGCTCACGGAAAAAGCATCCCACCAAGAAAAGCTGATGTGCGTTGTACATGGACTGTGCTAGGAGCTATGCATCAAGAACAGTGTGAGTAACAAGAAGGAAGGTGGCAACAACGAGGCACCAAGTGCAAGATATGCTATTTTATTGCCAACAGTTTTGAATTATTGCCAACAGTTTTGACGCGACATCACTTACGGCATGCCTCTGCATATATCATGTGCCCGCCTGGTTATGCACATTGCGTTGATCTGATTACTACAGGGCACTGAGAACCCTCAGCAAGCTGCAAGCATATCCACAAGTATAAGCAGCCCTTAGGATCTAAAGTTGGGAAGGCCAAGCTTCAAACAAATAAAGGCCATGTCTTCTATCTGGGTTGAGGGAAACTGGTCTCTCAGTCTAACAGGAAGGATATAGGAGGGAGAACAGATGGAAGCGCCCAGACTTAAGGCAGGTTTTGGTTGAGGAGTTCCTGGTTTTTCAAATTGTGTCCTAGAAGGTTTCCGTGAGGTGTACGCACTGTAGGGTGGACTACGGACTTTGGCCTCCAGGAGCTGTAAAGTTAGCCCCGTGGCCTGCCCCACAAAAGCTAGCATCGCAGACATGCTTAACCAGAATTCCATATGCTGACTGACTAAGGATGACACGAGCTTTTGAAGATCCATCCGTACCCTACGCTTTCAGCTGAATTCAGGGACCCGTTAGAAAAGGTCCTTAGACAGCATACCTAAGTATCTTTTTGATATCTAAACAAGGGGTTAAGACTTTGCATGACGCCCATAGAACCTATGCCCGTGACCCCCAACATGCGAGCAACCCTCCGTGTCTTTAAGCGCTCCCAAAAAAGGAAGCAGCCAAACCCGAGATCCCCAAACCTCTGAAAGGACAACCCACCCTAGATCCAACACCAAAAGCCCACCGTGGACCCCAAAGATCCCCAAGGGCGACGATTTCTGGAGGCTGTAGAAGTGCCTAGGCTTGCAACTGGCTAGGTATACAGATTTTAGAGTTGGGCACTTAAGGCTTGAAGGTTTGAGTGCTCGTGACTGGACGGGGTTGATGCGTAGGGTTAACCCGGGGATCCTGTGTGATGTAGGGGTTTGGAAGCGGCGCAGGCAAAGAGTCGGTAGACTTCAAGGATTTGTGATGATAACGTCCGGCTGTATGGTATGTAGGTTGAAGATATGATCCGTTCTTGAGGTACTCCATAAATCTAAGTATATGTCTTGGGGTTCGCATTTTTATGATATAGCTGTAGCCTTTCCGTACGAACTGCAGGGGGAGCTGACGCCTCAACACTTTATGTTGGGTCTTTAGGGTGCCAGGGCGGAATCAAAGGGGACACGACCTATACTCAGGGTTGAGGGTGTCGAGAAACTGACACGTCTAAATCGGGCCTAGAAGAGCCCCGCTTAGTACTTGTGCCATCCAAACTTCAACAGGGTTCTTTAGGCATTCTTCTGGCCCACATCCGAACCTTCTCCTTGATGCTTAAGCGTCACTGTCCTGGTGTCCTCGCCAAGCTTGAGCCCATGGTTGCTTTCAACCCCCAATCCCTAAACCCCTGAACCCCTAAGACCCTAAGACCCTAAACTCTTAAACCCCTAAACCCCTAAACCCCAAACCCCTAATCCCCTAGACCCCAAACTTAGCCAAGGACCTGCTGCCCGGCTGGGGCGAAGTAGCTGAGAGGTCCTCCTGCTTCCTATGGGTGCTTAAGGGGGAGGAGGGAGTAAGGGTTTAGGGGTTTAGGGTTTTAGGGTTTAGGGTTTACGGTTTAGGGTTTAGGGGAGGAGGGAGTAAGGGTTTAGGGGTTTAGGGTTTGGGGTTTGGGGTTTAGGGTTTAGGTAAACATATTACCTAAAATGGAAACTACCATAATGGGTATATTAGGGTTATATTGGGGTTATGTACGGATAATGGAAAATAAAATGGAAACTACAATAATGGGGCATATTTTACCCTATATGGGTATCGTTATACGGGGTATTTATGGGCGTGGTCTAGGGATTCACTCCCCGCCTCTCCCTTAAGCACCAGTATTTCTTGCATGGGTGCAGAGTTAAGGGGCTTGGGCTGTTGGAGCCAGGTGCTTCCCTTACCAATTCGTGGATATTGCTGTCAGCATGTAGCTGATGTAGCTCTTTCTTTGGACCATCGCGAGACCTACCCAAGAAGCTAGATGGCATGCTGTTTCTGCGTGACACCTAGAGCTTGCATCAATCTTCAACCCAGATGCCTCAAAACTTAGTTCCCAAAGTCTAGCACAAGCCTTAGTTGGGGACATATCTGAAGCTTGCGGGCCGATCAAAAAAGGAACAAGGCCTTGTGAAGATCCGCGGGACATTCCCCAGCACTTGCCATCGAGAAGCCTTCGCCAGGAAAGCCGTGCAGGCAGTCTCCAAAGCCAAGGTGCAGTTACAGGCGGGTCCTCATGGAGCTTCAGGTTTCTCTGCCTCAGTACCGTGGGTGCGGGTATTGCAAGACAAATCCCAAAAGAAAGCCCGCCACAAGCCCACCTTGCCTCGGCCCACGAACTCTGACAACACTTTCAGGCCACGCATGTCAAGATCATGGGGGTCTTTGAGAAAGGACATGTGAGGACCTGTACTGCATGGGGCCTGTTCGAAGCAGACTTTCAAAAGGGTTTTTGGGGCAGATTGAATTACAGCATCATAGGATAGGGGAATAATGTCGGTGGCGATTCGGGCTTCTGCATTGAGCAAGTTAGTTCGGTCCGTAGGTTGATGGACAAAGGTGCTCGCGGCTCAGGGCTTTGGGCATCTAGAAGACGGATTTTAGCTATAGCATTTTCGGGTCCATATGGGTCCCCCATTTATTGAAAATTCCAATTAATCTGGATTATAAAGAATCAGATAGACACGAAAATGGAAATGAAAGGGAAGCTATGTTTACATGGGGGAAGTTGTAATGTACATCTTATTTCATCCCTACAGGGCTTCACAGGAATGGGAGGACTTACCGGTGTTGGTTCTAAACCTTGGGAGGTTTACGGTTTAGCTGGTGAGCCTCCCGAAGGGGAAGTGTTACCACCGCGCATGAGACCCAAAACAGGTGAAGCTCATTGATATCTAGAAGTTTGGAAGAGCCGGCTATCACATGCCCGAAGACGTTCCTTTGGGTTCTCCACAATGAGGGGTTTCTCTTGGGAGTGCCTATGCTGAAAATCATAGTATTTGGGGGTCTATATTGGGGCACCCCTGTCTTGGAATTAAACATGTTGCGAATCTTCTTTATTGGTGGGGTTCTGTTGCGAGGGGCGGGAAGAACCTTAAAGAACCTCGGTGCCTAAACCCTGGGAAGTTTGCACGCGACCAGGGTGTTAGAGGCATCTTTGGCACAAGGCAGGAGAACCTGCAGGAACATGCATTCCAGACACCAACCCTAAATCTAGCCTCCCTCCCGATCCACCAACCCAACTCATCGAAGCCTTGCTCAGTCCTAGACTCTAAACTTAAAACTCTAAGCACCAAAGTGTCCTAGGCAACTAGAACCACACGCTCAACAAGCCCTGTCCCAAAAAAGCTCCTCCACTCCCCTGTGCAATCTGGGGCCATGGCACGCCGATCCGTTCAGCGGATCGATGTGGTCCCATCCGGAGCCCTGGCTTCCCGGCTTGAGACTCTTTGTGTCGCTGAGGGGTTCAGGGCCTGGGGGTGTAGGTTTGCAGGGATTCGGAGCAGGATTTGGGTACAGCGTGAGGCATGTTTCTTTATTTTCGGCGGCGGGGGTTGAGGTTTACGGCATGCTTTGTCTTCTTAGATTACAGGTCCCGCCTTGAAATGCGTGGTCCTTGTATGCGCATTCATCTTTTTGCAGTGACATGACGCCTGTGGCATGGGCGCACGTAGACTGCATACGATATGGGCATAAGTTAGTACTTGCATCGATATTGTAATGTTACGGTCTAGGTTCCCTGTATAAAAAGGTAGAAGGTACTTTGAATTTCAGATGGACCAAACAATTATGTAGATACTCCATTAGTACATATCGACAAATCTGGTTTCCTGGTCATGATAACTAGGTGACTTAGAGTGCATTCCTAAACAGCACACCAGAAAATGGACAAAGCATCACCAGCAGGTCGGCTGAAACGCGTCGAAATCGTGAGCCCTACACCCGGATCCCGAGTCACAAACCATGAAGTCCTAAGAAGAAGCTGTAGGGTTCGGAGGAATGTAGGTGTTCCATCATCCCCTACATGGGGGTTTCCCAAACTTAGGGTTTTGTGGGAGCCCCCTAGAACAAGGATTAAAGTATATCGGGGGTTTACGTCAGGCCCCCCCCTATGCATGGAGACGGCCAAGTATGGTAGGAATTTCCATGTTCCTCTCCAAGGCCTTCATTCCTTGTTAGCAACCGGCAGCGTGAAACCTAACCCCCTTTTTCCCTTCTCATTTTTACGGTCTGCTTATTGAAGCTGAATATTAGGAAAAGGGTACCCTCATAATTAGGGGGTTACTGGGAAACGTTGGAAAAGGTGCTGCACCATGAAGCTGAGAGCACCATGCAGACAGAGCAGACGGTCACCGGGCTCACTGCGGATGAGTTGGAGTTAAAGTCTTCAGGTTTTCTTTTGTGCAGTTGATCGTTTTTTTTTCACGGTGTGGGGAGTTACTATACAGGACCAAATGCAAGTACCCCATCAGTATTATGGTTCTGTAACTCTTCCATTGTTATTGTGTTATAGGGTACCTCACACAGGCCTCATGGTAATATAGTTATTTGTTCCTGCAGACTGCTGATCAGCACAGTCTTCCTTTCGCGCTGGAGACTTCACACAAATCCTACACTCTCAATGTGAAGCTCCCTCACTCTTT